GAAAAAAAATTCTTGGATGTATTTCTGTGCGTGTACCACCAGTTATGAGATGATGATTAAAATGTACACAAATGTAATTATTTTAAATAATTACAAATGACAGGCAGATATTTCAACATTAAGCTGTGCAGATTTTTTATCACTTTAATTTAGTAATTACTTTGATGCTTTTATTTATGTATTTAAGAGTTTCTATTTAACTGTAGTGTTTGTTCGTGTTTGTTCCTCGCCAAAACCCTGTCTGTCCCTTTTTATTATTAACTGGTCTGGGTAAAAAAAAATCCCTTATAGGTAAAAAGAGTTATTTGCTCAGTCAATTGAATTCCCCTCACAAAGCGACCTGGCAGCCCTGCGGCCTTTAGTAGAGATAACTCTGAACGCTGTTGTCTTAAATTAAAAAGGCTCGGGGCAGCACCACTAAACTCTCTAAAATGAGTTTGTCTTATTCCTATTAGAGTCAAGAAGAAAGGTTAATCTATATTAACATACATTTGTGTTCATTTTAGTTTTCGTGAATAATCAGAGGGAAGCAACGCCGCTGTTTGTCAACCTGCCAGCCTTCGTGATTCTGTTCTCTGTGATCTGACTGTTGTGTGTGTCAGAGTCTCGCAGAGGCACGGCTTCAGTTTTCTGAACGCTGACACAAGTGACATGGCAATAATGTTCTTCATTTGAGGAGTGAGAAGAGTAAACAGGAGTTCAGTGTCTTCCACAGGGACACTCAGCGGCGGTAATTGGCAGTTTGGAGTTTTCATAACAATGTCAGTTCAGCCTGTTAGCTTCTTTTACAAGAGATGATTTTCCATACAGGAGGGAACAAGCTGTGGTGTTTTCTGACCTAATTGCATATCCTGATGTGTTAAAATGGACTGTAGATCAATGATAGGCTGCTCATCTAACATTATTGTGTTGCAAATAACACGCAGTTGTAGATATTTAATGTAAATATGCAAACATAAATTATTTATCTGTATTATAGGTATAGTGCCAATCCTTGAGTTAATGTAGTTAATAGGTTATTTCATTTGAAAGAATAGTCTTGTGCAAGTCTTGAGCCACGCTTCATTTCTTTATATCTTTTAAAAGCGGTCTTGAGTAATAGGTGATTACCAGAGAGTCAACAACTTGGCCTTATTGCAGCATGGCGTGCAGTGTGACTTCAAAAAATTTGAGGAAACTGTGACAGGCCTAAAAAAATGTCTACAGATTAACAGTATCTGAAAATTATGTCCAGCAAAGGGTTCACACAGGACCTGAGTGATACAACCAACGCGTCAGCTGATCCACGTGTCAGTGAAAGAAGGGTGGCTGTCATTGATCTTATGGAAAGTAAACAAGGAGAACAGGCTGAAGTTTGCCAAACTGAACAAGAACTGGACTGAAAGTTGGTGGCAACAGGTCTTATGGAGTGATGAAAGCAATTTTTAAGTCTGATTCAAGTCATTGTCAGTGTGGACGGAGGAGATCGAGAGAAAAGTACAACAGTGAGTGTCTGTAGCCATCTGTGAAGCACGGCGGAGGCTCTGCCAAGCTTTGGGGCTACAGTCAGTGGGGAGAGTGCCTAAGAGAGTTCAGCCTGTGTTGGAGAATAAATGAGGTCACACCAAATACTGACTTTTAAATGTCATTAGAATTGTGCAAACTCTGTTTTTGCCTAATATACTGTATTTCTGTGTATATTTGCACGTGTTTGCATGTTCACACTGCAGTTATTTCCTATTTTTCTAGCAAAAAAGAAACAAATAAGTGATGACTCGAGCCTTATATTATATAATTTGAAAGAAACATTATGTACGGGTATTATAAGTTTCTTTTTTTAATCAATCTGTGTGTTAAAGTATTATTATTTCTTGTTGGCAGCTGAGTGTCCTTGCAGTTTTACTGCCTTGCTGCCAGTTCTATAATTAGTTTTATGCTGATTCTTATATTACAACATTTTGGACAAATGATGATTTTTCACTTCATGATAAAAAGTTAAAGGCTCATCAAAGTTATTGTAGTGCATCAGGGTCTGTAGTAAATTTAATGTCAGTCCAGATTTTTAAATATATTTCACAAGAAAACAAAAGGTCACGCTCGTAGAAATCCGAGAGGAAAAGTCAGCGCCAGAGTTAGTCACTGTGAATTTCATCAAAGTGGTGGACCAGCCATATGACCCACTGACTGATATTACCATCCTTAGAGCCAAGATGCTTCATTATTTTTGAGCAAATATTTAATAATCACAGGACTCTGATGTGGCGTTTACATCTTGAAAAAGAATATGTGCAACTTCTGAATCCATCCGTGCAGTTCAGAACAAACAAAGTTTAGTCCTTCATCCTTATAGGACTTATAAAAGGAAATCAAACCTCCCTTTTCCTGTTTATCAGTTAGTAGACTGATTACTTTTAAGGCTGTCAAAACGGTGGGGCTATTTAAAAATGCTTTTTTTAAAAAAAACCTTTTCCATCTCTGTCCATAATCACGATTTCCTCATTCCAAACCCACTGAGCTGAGTTACAGAGCCAAAATAAAACCCCACCCAACTTGTCACTGTCTGGAAATATGACTGTATGTTACATTCCTAGTGGCAGTGGCACGTTTCCCTCTTAAAAAACATTCTTCTGTCTTCACAGCGAGTGCAAATGTCTGCAACGTGGTGCTCATGAGACACTCTGAGCTGTCGGAGGGCATCAGCGTGCTCGACAACAACGGCAACGTGGTGGGAACATCAAGAGTAGCTGCCAGGCATGTATGTCCTCAGCTCTGAAAATTAAATGGATCGTGTTATTGGTATTGCTGTTTAGCAACATATGCACTATAATGCTTTTAAATGGCAAACAATTTAAAGTTTAAGTGTTTTGCTTTCACACGTCAGTATTCGTGCATTTAAACACTTAAATGATCGCATTGTTTCCCAGATTCAAAGCAAATTTATTTGTATTTTTTAATATTCCTGGTTTATGTTTTCTTATGCAGGCTCTCTTGGAGACAGCCCTGACCAGAGTAGTCATGCCCATGCCAATCCTGGTGCTTCCTCCCCTGATCATGTCTGCACTGGAAAAGTAAGAAACACTTCTCCACTTAGTTTAGCCAATGTAACTATCTGTGTTTCCACCTGTTCAGCTGCTGTTTAACACAAGACGCCCTGCAGAAGTACAAACCAGCATCAGAATTGTTAAGAGAAATGATTCTTGATGATGCAGAGGCCACTTAGAGTATTTCAGAAACAGCTGATCTGCTGCCATTTCAATGCCAATCAATTCCTGCTACAGCTTTCAGATGGTAGGATCCCACCTGCCTTATATAAATGTTTCAGGCTGGTGGTGGTGTAATGGTATGTGGGGTGTTTTCTTGGCAGACTTAGCACCAGTTGAGCGTTGTTTAAAAGCCACAGCCTACACAGCAGTATTGTTGATGACCTTCCCGTTCCCAGGATCCAGGAGGATAACCCAAAGCTCAAATCATCTCAGACTGGCTTCTTGAATATGAATGGGGTATTTGCATTTCGGACATGCAGCTGCCTAATCTGCAGCACCTGTGTGATGCTGTCATGTCAATATGTCTGGAATGTTTCCAGCGTCTTGTTGAATCTCTGCCATGAAGAATTAAGACCATTCTGAAGGCAAAACGGGAACCAACCCGATACTAGCACCGATAGGTGCACCTAATAAAGCTATCCTGTGAATGTATCGGTCGACTGAAGGCAGAAAGATGTTGATGCCGTTTAGATGTTTGGATTTTCTGATTCCTTATTGTCTGTCTTAAAGTGTGCTGTTGAGATCCATCGCTTTTATATCCACAAAAACAGGATAACAGTAGAAGAACCAC